CCTAAAGAAGCCCTCTTCTATGGATATTACATCACCAAGCTGCTCCACTCATAATTGAGTATTATATCACTCAACTGCTCCATCCAGGATTCGATCTCCCCACCCTGAGGTTGCAAGTCCAGCAATGTCTGTCCTTTGCCAACTCGGATGTGCCCGGGGGGCAAATTAAACGGGATGGAGAGGTGATTCGAAACCGTGACCACTCATTGAGATAATGAGAGCTTGACCATTGTGGCACTTCTTTAATTAACTGAAGCATTGATATCTTTAAAAAAGGTAATAATACCAGGATAATAAAATATTGTATTTTTTAATCAATAGTTTCCGACGGATTATTATATTTTGAAGCAATTCTGCTGTATGTACAGAATACTGTACACAGTACACACAGAAGCCGGCCAGAACAATCACAAATAGGCTATCTATTGTTTAGTTTTCGATAGTTAAAAACCACATGAAACCAAACTAAATTATTCGCCCAGTTTTTTTTTTTAAAAGTTATTTGTTTTATCTAAGATATATTATATATTAGATTAAATTATACTTCAACAAATTTACTTGCTTGTCCGCTTTTACTGGCGCTTTAGAAGAAAACAATAATTTATCTATGATATATTTTTCTTATCTAATGAACGAAGTTATAAACTTAAATTGTATTTTGAACCTTCTGTTAATTTAAAGGTTTAAGTTTTTTATTAAAACAAATTTATTAATGTTGTAGCGTTTATGCTTAGAAGGTTTTGATTTAAGTGTTACAGTGAAATTTCAAACCAATATATCTATTTTTTCCCTTGTTTGAAATTTTTTATTTTATGTCGTTAAAATCATGTTTTAAACCAAATTAAAATGTGAAAAACGAGTTGATTTGGTTTGGTTCGGTTTGAAATGATGCGTGTCATATACTATTGAAGCAGGGTGATGTGTCATATTTTGTATTTAATTATCAATGGAAAGACATTTTGAATTCTTTTAAAAATATTTATTCCCTGCAATTCCTTTTGTTGGTTTTTTGCTATAGGTTTGGATCAAAAAATCCCTTCCTAGCTACATGCCATTTATTTTTCCTTCTTTCTTTGGACTTCTGGGCCAAAAATTGAAATGGTTTGATATTGAATTTTTTCAAAGGGACGGGGTTTCAAATCTTTAAAATTCTTGTAGACTATACCTAGACTTTTCATTTTTGTAGCTAGAGTCCTAAACCTTTAATGACGATGACAACTGGAGGATATGAGGACATAATTCGTCCATTCCTATCACAGTTGACCAAAAAATTGTACCCATTGTGGTGTTTAGTGCTCCTTCCGTTCAAATTTGTGGAATACATACATGCATAATTGACATTTTGATTTTAAAAGTGAGAAAAGTAATCTGACCATTTTACCTTTCACTTAATTGGTACATTTCACTTAATTGGTCATAATAAGTCGAAACTGTAATTTTTTTTTCAAATGATGGAGGAATGCACTGACGGACCCAGCACTCAGCGAGGGGGCGCGACCGTTTGTGTTGGGATCCGTCAAAACAGTGGAAGGAAGGAAGAAGACGATTGGACAGGCGAGGTACCATTTTTGTATTCTTAATTGTTTTTTCATCTTGTTATATTACTCTTATTTATTGAATCTTGAAAGCGGTATCAAAACAAATTGGAGTCGCCTTATTTTTTCTAACACTTAAATTGTATTTTGAACCTTCTATTAATTAATAGGTTTGAGATTTTATTGAAACAAATATATTAGAGTTGTAGCGTTTAAACTTAAAAGGTTTCAATTTTAGTGTTATAATGATTTGATTTGGTTTGTTATGGTTTGAAATGATGCGGGTCATATATTATTAATGTGATGTGTCATATTTTGTATTTAGTTCCCGTTTAGTGATCTTTAATTTAATTTATTTCTCATACTCATTTTTATAAACCAATAAAATATTATACGCGTCAACACAATTTTTTCCTACTTTTTAATTATACACATACACACGCGCCACCAAGTAAACAGATCTTGAAGGAGTTGAAGTTGGTTCAAACTCATTTGGTAGGGTTGAATGTGAGGGTATCAATGAAGGATAGTGCAAGTTTATTGGGTGCATGCCGAAAGGGGGGTGGATTTTAGCCCCATTGAGATTTGGACTATGGTGGCGTCGTATAGGGGATAAAGGGTCAGTAGGAGATGTTGGTTGTTTGTCTATTTGAGGTATAGGCGATGATTTGTGTGATCCGATCTAGGTGGTGCGATCCTGCAATTTCCTGTGAATCTGTTGATGTAGGTAAGGGCGATGGTGTGGTGGTGGTAGTGGTAGTGGTGTTGCTCTTTGGTGGTGCTGTGATAGTGGTGCAAGAGTGGTTGGAGTTACAGGTGAAGATAGTAGTGTTGATGGAGGTGATATCAGATTTGAGGATGTAGTGTAATCGAATAATTAACAATGATAAATTAATTTCATAATTAGTAATCGATAAATAAGTCGTGGTCCATAAAATTTGTGATTTATAATTGTGACATTCTGTGATTTTGTTTAGTACATAATCGTGACCATATATTGGATGTTATTGTGATCTTAATTTATTTAGCCACAGTTTTGGGGCCATTTTTTGGAAAAAAAAATTATTTTGAATATTGAATTTTTGGAGAATATGTGGTTAAAAGTAGAAAAAATTTTGAATGTACTTTTAAAATATTTTATTATATGAATGTGTGATTGAAAATCAATATAAAGAAAAAAAAAGAATTTTGAAAGAATCGTAGACAAATATGAGCTTAATCAATAAAAAATTATTTAATTAATACTACCTGATTTTTGAAAGAATTCCACAAGGTTGTCAATAGGGGTGAACGCGGTTCGATCTGGGCGGTTTGTGTCATATTTTCAACTCAAATCATTTCATGCGGTTTGAAATTTTTTCAAACAAAACCAAATCATTTTATTTTTCGAACCAAACCAAACCAAACCATAGATTGCGAGTTGGTTCGGTTTTAATCCGCGATTTACTTATCGACAATTATAATAATATATTTAAAATAAGTTAACATATAAGTTTCAATGAGAACTAATAATATAAAATGTTAAATTACATTCATCTTTCTCACCCGTGAATAAATTATTTTCAAAATTGATTGTTAAAAGATGTTAATAAAACAAATATATATTTCTTCCTTTTTATTTACCTGTTCTTGTTTGCCTTTCATATTGTCATATAGTGGTTGATAAAGATAAGAGTCACATTTTGCTATAATAGTTTGGTTAAAAATTCTTTTATCCTGCTAGATGAAAAATAAGGACTGAACATGATATGTTTAAATGTACAAATAATGATAAAGTTTATGTTTATTGGAAATTGACAAATTTTATTCTCTAACAACTTTGAGAAAGTAGAATGTAGTAGTACTATAACATTTTCATACAATCAAAACACTCTTATCCTTCGTTTTTTTCTAAACCACAAACAAGTTCATTAATCACTTATGCACATAAACATTCATTTTTTTTTAAAAAAAATCTAAATCACAACTTTCTAATGTATAATAAGTTCAAAAACAACAAATGAAAGAAAGAACAATGAAAAAAATGACTTGAATAGGAATCTAAGACTTATCAAGAGAGAAAGAGATTATACGGGTAGAAATTGGCAGACTAACAAGTAAAAGGCGACTAGCGATTTGTTGGGAATCGCATTTTGTTCAATTGTAGCAGGCAAGCGTCAAATGTTTGAGAAATGAGAGTTTAGGTTACGATTTGCGATTTTGCGAATTTTTTGTGCAGCCCTGGTTGTCAAACATGTATCTTTAAATGTAAGTAATTATGTATTTTTTCAAAAAGAAAAATAATAATTATTATTATTTGTGTCTACATCTAGTGGATGTTTGGTGGGAATTAAAATCAGATTTTTAGTAGGTTGTGATAGAAATTTTTGAAATGTGTGATTGAAAATGTGTGGAACTCATAAAAGATGTGGTTAATTTTAATTATTTAACTTTCGCATAAATTAAAATCCGATTTTAATTAGAAACAAACTGGCCTTAACCACCAGATCTGATTCATCCTATCTCGATTTAAATAGTTTGAATCGGGTTCAGTTACTGCCAAGGCCCAAATCAGGTCAAGTTTCAAATTGTGCCAAAACCGACTCAAGTTGAATAATAAGTCGGATCGAATCGGATCAGGGGCGGAGCCAGGAAATTGGTTCAGGGTGGGCACAATTTAGTCGATCCCGAACTAAGAGACAGTCTTCCAAGTCCAGGATACTTTTGCAACATGGATCCAAAAAACCCAATCTGAGCACTGGATGGAACTTTAAGCCGGATCTCTTGAGCTGCCGCCAAAACCTTCTAGTAATATCTCTCCACCCTTCACAAACCCTCACCACCAACAATAATCTCGCTGGCGGCAGCCTCCTTAGCACTTCCCACAAACAATCACGGGCAACTTTCCTAACCCTGAAACATCAACACAAATCTCCATTCTTGGCTCAATTTCGTCCCCGACATCCTCCACCACCGAGTCATCAACACTAATATCCTCAAACGATAGAGCTCGTCGGAGCCAATTTGTTTGCCATAGCAATCTTCATACTTCTTCTGCCCCTTTTTTCAAAATTTCTCAAATTCTTGTTTCAGGCCTGTTTATCTCAAAATTCCAACAAATTCAATTCCATTGTGATTCAAATCAATAATCTGCACATAGTCCCCAAATATATATACTTATGTCGTATATACTTCACCAATTTCAACTTCACAATACCCAAATTTCACCAATTTCAACTCAACAATTCAGCCATATCTATTCTGCATTCAGCAATACCAATACCCAAATTTCAACAATACCCAATTTCAATTTCATAACAGACAACAGTGAATCTCTACTGCACACAGCACACAACAATACCCAAAATGTAGTATTAAAAAAAAAAGAACAAAAACATCTCAACTGAACCGAACATAGAGCTGAAAATTAGGCCCCCGTGCAATTTTATCAAAGAACAAATCCAATATTATCTCAAGCTACTATCACAATGATCCAATTGCTAAAGAAATTAAGAATGTACTTGATTCGCAGATCCGGGTAGGAGATAAGTCACTGCAGAGGTGGAGGCTGGAGAAAATCCAAATCTCATAAAGTAAAGATTTCATTTTTCTCAACCAACACAAAAAAACTCGGGAGAAAAAAGAAAAGAAAAGAAAAGAAAAGAAAATTAGTAAAATCTTCTGCCTTCTGCAGTACTGCGTGCGATTGTGAGTGCGAGACTGCGAGGCGAAGGCTGCGAAGATGGGGTGGAAGTTATGAACGGCGATTGTTGAGGCGAAGTTGTGAAGATGCCGGAGTAGAGGTGTTTCAGGTTGTGAGGTGCAAACAGTGGAGGCGGAGCACGGGAGCAATCGAGCGGAGGATGGAGACTGGAGTTGTGATTTGTGGATGAGGTTTAAATTTTTGGAATTGGGCTCAAAGTTGTGGGCTTTTTCTCTTGGGTTGGGACAATGGGACTTAGCTTATGGGAAAAAAATCATAAATAAGGTGTATAGTTTATACAAATTCAAAAATCAGGTTTATAGTTTAAAAATTCAAAATTCAAGTATTTTGTAATTAATTAAAAATATTTATTAATTAGGTCACAATTATACCATTAATGGTCACAAATATATAATTGTAGGTTACAGCTTATCTACCAGTCACATATTATAAAATTAATTGGTTACAAATTATTTCGAGGTCACAAATCAAAAAATTGATAGGTCACAGATTATTTCGAGATCACAAATCAAAATTTTAGAGATCACAGATTATTTTAAGGTCACATATCAAAAATTTCTTTGGTCACAGTTTGTTCATCGATCAAAATTTGTTTCTCGATCACATATTTTCAAATTATTTGGTCACAAATTATTTTGCAATCACATATTATCAAATTTTGAAGTCACAACTGGGTCGATACTTGGTCATAGACGACCAAACAATGGTCACATACATCTAACAATGGTCACATATAATCGCCACCAACACTACTGCCACTGCTACTAGGACCACCATCACCCCGTCGTCGTCGCCGCCACCACACCACCTCCACAACGTGCCACCACACCCAGAGACACCACCACCGCACCAACAATAACGAATAAAAATCATCCCTGCTACAGCCCCTCAAAACCACCACAACTACACCAACAAAGAAGAAACCACCCCTACTACAGCCCCTCAAAACCACCACACCACCGTCGCACAACGCACCACCACCCCTACAAACACCACCAGCCGGCGATGCTTACATCAGATATTAGTGCGTCTCCTTAAACGCCACCACATCAACAGATCGTCGCAGCACCACTACATCAGTACGTCGTTGTAGCGATGATCTGAGCTCAGGTCTGCTTCCGCTGCGCCGTGAGTCATCCCTGCACGCTCGACGCCATTCACAGAGAGAGGAGGGAGAAGGACAGAGAAATGATACTGTCGTTCCATTCACAAGAGGAATGACGGAGAGGGGGAGGTGAGCCGCCGAGCCATGAGCCATCACTGGCGACGCTGCCGTTCCATTCACGGAGGAAGGACAGAGAGGGAGAGGAGAGGGGAGCGTCGTCGCTGCTATTCCATTCACATAGAGAGAGAGAGAGAGAGAGAGAGAGAGAGAGAAGGGGGAGGGGAAAATGAAAAATTAGGGTTTAAAATTTTTATTACCTGAATTATGATTAAAAAAGTTAAGCACATGACATTTGCATAAGAAACTTTAAATACCGGGAGCTGTGTAATTTCCTCTTAGCTTATAACCAAGAAAATAAAATTGAGCCCAAAAAAAAATTTTGAGCCTAGAAGTTCATGCCCACCTTGGACCATACTTGGCTCCGCCCCTGAATCGGATGAATAAATTTAATTTAGAAAAGTCAATTGTAAGATAGGAAAATAAAAGAATTTTGGTGTCGTAGATAAGATTAACACGTCATTCTAAATAACAATCTTTACAAATTATATTGTAAACTTTCTATCGAAATCAAAGCCACGTATACTACACATGTAACAAAGACCATTGATATCTGTCTTATCCTATTTAATCCTAAATATTAAAAGATAAAATCAGTATTAAACAATAATCCAATTTCGTCTGGACTCTGAACGATAATGATATTACAACAGTACCACAAAGGAGTCCATTGCTATATAAATTCTCTTTTACTCTACCGACCCAACAATAAAATCGAGCTCAGTATAATATATTGGATTGAGGGTGAGATTCTTGGGGTTTTCAATAATCTTTGAACTTTTTCTTCCGAGGAAAAAAAAAGTATTCTTTTTTGGTTTAGCATAATCATTGTTTGTGGCTTAAAGATTTATTTTTTGATGTGAAAATTTATGAATATTCGATTCTGTTAGTATGATTTTGCTGTTCTTCATTTAAAAAAAATAAAAATGGTTCTCGTGTTTCGTTTGTTTTACTATGGAGGTACCCTTTGATTGAAAGGGTATGGAACCAAATTACTAATTTTATATGTTGCACTGAAGTTTAAGTGATTCTTGAATTTTTCAATGATCTATAAACTTTTTTTTTTTTTTTGTTAAATTTCCTTTTGTTTTTTGCTTATCATGATTTTTTTAGTAATTATTTGGGATTCTAAGATTTTATTTTTATCCTGAAGATTTATGAGTATTAACTGAAAGAGAAAAAGTCGGCGGTGTTAGTATGAATATGCTGATCTCTTCTTTCTTTCTTTTTTTTCTAACTTTTTCTCCAAAATTACTAATTTATTCGTAATTCAGATTATGTTGATTGATTTTACTATTTATGGGTGATTGAAATAAATCCAGGAAGCAGAGATAGTTTATTTGCACGAGATGATAAGAATGAAGGCTGGAAAGATTATAGTTTTCCTTCTCTGTCTAAATTTGGTGTCCATTCTAGCGGTAAGATAGCTTCTTTTTGCTGACATTGTTGAACATAGCATTGATTTATGGTTATATAAATTAAGGGTGTTTAATATTCAATCTTGAATTTGCATATAATGAATACAGATTGCTGCCGGCCCACCCACATGTCCTGCAGATGTTGGTAGTGATTGTGCCAGTGATTCGGGCGAATGGAAAGGGGAGTTCTTCCCTGGCATTCCTAAGATTAAGTATGAGGTAAAGGAATCGACATATTTTGATGGATAATTAGAATATATGCTGCATGATTGAAGTCCTATAGTTTAAACATGTTTGATGCATAGCATTAGATAGGATTAGACACAATAATGGACAAAAAATTAACTTCTTTTCATTCCTTAACAATGTCCAGTTCTATAAAGTCGATCTTAACCTACGAGTTATTCTGTGTTTGTTTTTCCAATGTGCATGCAGGGTCCTTCTAGCAAGAATCCTCTTTCTTTTAAATGGTATAATGCTAATGAGGAGATTCTTGGGAAAAAAATGAAGGTGAGATATTTCTTCGTGTATATTATTGTATATTTTAACCATTTGAGAGGATTTAAATTGATGGGCATCTATGAATCCATTTTCTACCATAGGATTGGATGCGATTCAGTGTAGCGTTTTGGCATACATTCCGTGGGACGGGAGGTGATCCATTCGGTGCACCTACGAAGATGTGGCCATGGGAAGATGGCACGAATTCCCTAGCTATGGCTAAGAGAAGAAGTAAATATATTTTCCTCTGTATTTTAGCAATATTATTGGTGACAAATGAAGTTGTTTATTTTTTTTATATTTTTTGTTGATGATTCAGTGAGAGCTAATTTTGAGTTTCTGGACAAGCTTGGAGTAGACAAGTGGTGTTTCCATGACAGGGACATTGCTCCTGATGGTAAAACACTCGAGGTAAGTAAACACGTCAATTTTTCTCAAGCTTCCTCTTTGTGCATTTAACTCAATTGCAAAAAGCGAGGAAGGCTAGGGCCATGTGTATTTCTTCCTTGCTTACATGCCTAATTTATACAAAAAATTTATGAGATAAATTTACTCTCTTAAGAGAGAGGAATCTACTGTCCTGTTTGCATTTTGACTAAGCTTTAAAATGTAATATGTCGATGAACTTCTATTGAAGTTGATAGTGATCCAATATCTTGTTACAGGAAAGTAATGCTAACTTGGATGAAGTAGTAGCCCTTGCCAAAGAACTTCAGGTAATTTTACACTGATGAAGGGTAATCAGATAGTATTGTTCTCTCCTTACATTTTCAATGTTCAATATAAAGTTAAGATGCATCATATTATGAGAAAAGTTTTCCTTGATATCTGCATATGATTTATCTGTTTGCATCATCAGGGGACGAAGATTCATCCTCTCTGGGGCACATCTCAATTGTTTCACCATCCACGGTACATGCATGGAGGGGCAACTAGGTAAGTGAGACTTCATTGTGGGTTGAATTTAATTGATTTTGGGCTTATTTGGTTCTTCATGCTTATACTTAATTCTTAAAATGCAGCCCTGATTTGGCAGTATATGCGTACTCAGCAGCACAGGTCAAGAAAGCCATGGAGGTACGTTATCCATTATTTTGCATATTCCATTTCTTGAAAAATGAGATGACTGATTGGACACGGGGATCAACTTTTCAATATAATAACCTCTGATGCATGTGGGTTCAATTTTATGTATGCATACAGGTTACACACTATCTAGGTGGAGAAAACTATGTTTTCTGGGGTGGTCGAGAGGGTTATCAGACTCTTTTGAACACAGATATGGAAAGAGAGCTTAATCATATGGTAAGATACTTGCATGTCTTTTAGATGCATGTAATTCTAATTTTTTACAATGGATGTTGAATTCTTGATGATTTCTGAATAAGTGAAATTAAAGTATTACAATACTAGATCTGAGCATATTCTGCCTTTTAAATAATTATTCAGTGCATTTAACAACATTAATTTATATATATATATATATAGTCATTGAAACACTCCTATTTTATTATATTTATTTCTTTTATAGTTATTTCATAATGAAATATGGCGTATTTCTTCACAGGCAAGGTTTTTGGAAGCTGCTGTTGCCTATAAGAAGAAGATTGGATTCAATGGTATGCTCAATTCTACTTCATTAGGCCCCAACAAAAAGATTAAAATGGGCATTAGACTCAATATCATATAACTGATCTAATACTTTGTTCACTGATTCTTTTTTTCTGCTTCAAATCTCTTAATAACACTGTCTTGCCATCCTCTAATTCTCTGTTCTAATTTTATTACTTTTTCAGGGACGCTACTCATTGAACCTAAGCCCCAGGAGCCTACAAAACACCAGTATGTTTCTGTTTCTTATAAAATGCTTTAAACTGGAAATTGTGTACATAAATACGCTCCTTATAACATATTTTGATCATGCTAGGTATGACTGGGATGCTGCAACAGCAGCTAACTTCCTGAGAAAATATGGACTCATAGGTACAACATTCGTTGTCTGAACTTTCTTCTTAGAAGTATTCAACATTTATTTTGTATCTCTTATTTTCAAGATAATTCTCAAATTGAACATCCAATTTCGCTCTTCCGAAGTTTTCTGTCTCATTTTAGTTAACACTCCACCTTTGAATTATATGCATCTAATTGAACTATATGGTGGGTGGGTTGGTGCTTATTCTGGCCAATTGATGGAACAGGAAGGAATTTTTTTAAAATAAATCCAGAGAGAAAGAGAGAATGCAGGGAGAGACAAAAATTACTGCACTTACTGCACTTAAAATTTTCCTATATCTTCAATGCTAACTGTACGCATGAGACCTTATTTCCATCAGACCAGAATGGAGCCTTCCTATTCCATTTCAATTTAAATGGTGTTGAATTCTGTATCTAACTTGATTTCTTGTTGCCCTTTCTAACTGATATATACCTGTGAATGATTATGAATGCAAAAATTGTCCCGAGTTCAGTGCGAAAAGTCGTATTTGATTTTTTTGCCTCCTTTATTTCGTACAGATGAATTTAAGCTGAATATTGAGTGCAACCATGCAACTCTCGCCGGTCATAGGTTTGTCATGTTCTATTCCTGAAACTTGTGATCTGAACTTTGATTTCCTACTTCTCTGAAAATTAATTGCTGCAATACCTTCAAACATAAATGAATTAAGCTCCATTTAACCCATTCATTATTATTGCAGTTGTCATCATGAGCTCGAGACTGCAAGAATTAATGGTTTACTCGGAAACATTGACGCAAATACTGGCGACCCTCAAATCGGTATTTTTACTAAACAATAATTTTGGAATTTTTAAATTTGTCCCATTGCGTTTGCAGACCTCGGCTCTTGGTGTCAAAGACAATTTAAGTTTTAATAAAGATACTTCTTGCTGGTACAGGTTGGGATACCGATCAGTTTATGATGGATATAGGGGAAGCAACATTAGTTATGCTCAGTGTAATTAAAAATGTATGTAAAAAATTGGCAAGTGCAATTTTAAGGGGAAAAAAAATTCTAAATTCCTATGAGCATTTGAAGTTACCGTGTTCTGTTGTTTTTACTTTGTTTTGCAGGGAGGATTGGCGCCTGGAGGATTCAATTTTGATGCAAAACTGTTAGTTTTCTTTCTACCTCTCTTTTCCTTAAAAATTACATCATGTGCTTATCGAGTATATAAAGTTGATCTAGTTCATTGAATCATTATTTAGATTTTTAAGCAACTCCATTGAGGCTAAAAATAATCTTGAAGTAACTTAATGTGAATTAATACCATCATGAAATGATAAAATAAACGATTATAAACTTTTCCATAAATTTTGTCATGTAATAGTCGAAGAGAGAGCACAGATGTGGATGACATATTCATTGCTCACATCGCTGGTATGGATACTCTAGCCCGTGGACTCCGTAATGCTGCCAAGCTGATTGAGGTGATATTTTATCTCCCTTTTATGTCATTCCATTTCATATCTTAATATAATAATTGGATCATTTGCGGCTAAACCATATTCTTGTCTTGAAATAGGACGGTTCTTTGGCTGAGCTTGTCCGCAAGAGATATGAAAGTTTTGACACAGAAATTGGAGCTCAAATAGAGGTCGATTTACTTGTAGTCCGGTTTTCAATTTGCTTTAGTAAATATCTGTACTTCCTTTCAGTGTAACTCTTATACGTCATGTATGTCTCCTTCAACAGGCTGGGAAGGCTGATTTTGATATGCTCGAGAAGAAGGCCATGCAGTGGGGAGAACCTAAAGTTTCTTCTGCTAAACAGGTAACATGCGAGTGACCTAAGATTTACTTGAAATTTAGCTGAAGGGGTTTGTCTTAGCAGGGTTGAATGCTATTGTTTTGGTTTTCTCACGTGAATTTAATTCATGAACTGGAGTCTTTACCCCTTCTCCTAAAGTCATGGGACTATTTTGTTGAGTTCCTTGGAGTCGTCTCTAGTATTGAATGCCAACATACGCCTATTATTGAATTCACCTGATGTATTTTTTTTTCCTTCGTGTCATCTCTTTCAAGGCTATATTTCTTACACAAGCTTTGCTTGTACTGTTGCAGGAATTGGCCGAGATGATCTTTCAAGCTGCACTGTAGAACCTTTTGTTTTTTTAGCTCAGTTAAAATAATGAATAGCAGTGAGAAGACTGCCTACTCGAAGCAGTCGAGGGATCTTTAGTTTTGTTGCTGTTTCAGAAAAAAACGTTTGTATTTATACACAGTATAAAACTACTTATTTGGTTAAAATCTCTATCTTTGCGCACGCAATGCAACGCAAAATCTTTCCACACTTAGGATAAAGATCATGTTTTCCGTCCCGTCCCGATTTCCCAACTTCTTTCCCAAATGGGTTTAGGATAGGGGTCATGTTTCTCGTCCCCTTCCTGATTTCCCAACAAATCACGAATCTCCATTCCATTTAGAATCCAACGTTGTGGAGCACAGTGAAAACGAGATGTTTTGTTATCCCTACTTAGTTAAATAAAAAGTGTTTTACAACTGACAAAATCCTTTCAACTTGGCTTCGCTCCCCAGATATCCTTCCTAACATCTATAAAACAAGTGATATTAGCTCTCATGCTCCATATCAAGGTGGCACATTGGGACCTGTTACTCCATTATTTCCCCTCTACTCATACAAACCAACAAATAATTGGTCAAAATCAAGAGAAATCAATTTGCACATTAAATGGTTCAACCACCCTTTTAAGAAATCACATAGGATCATTACAGTATCTCAACATTCACAGCACTGAAAAATTTCATATTTTTCTATTGAGAAATCTAATGTGGATTTTTAGAGTTGCGAAAAATTTGAATCAACAATTATACTTCAAATTTTATAATGACTATAAAATTAAGTCCGCGTTTGACAACTATTAAAACAATATTTTTTTATCTGAAATTCATTTTCAACCATACATTTTCATAATAAAATATTTTGCACTTAAATTTAAAATTTTCTTTCTACTTTTTAACCATACATCCTCCAGAAATTCACTATTCTTAAAACTCATTTTCCCAAAAAAGAAAAAATAATTATAATGGTTGTCAAATAGGGGCTAAATGTAAAAGCTACTGTAGTAACAATTAGCCCCTATTTGACACCCATTTGACACCCCTACACATAAACCCAAAAATTCTTTCTATTTTTTAATCACACATTCTTTCATCAATCACTATTTCAGAATTTATTCTTTCTCCAAAATGGGTGGTCAAACACAACCTTAAGCCCCGGTTGGATGCAAATTTTGGGAGTAAGAATGCATTTTTACTATTGATGTGATGGAGAATATGTGGTTGAAAAGGAAGGAAAATTTATTGACGCGATGTAAAATATTATTTTATCGAAGAATGTATGGTTGAAAATGAGTATAAGAATGATAATGAAAAACATAATGTGATTCAAACAGTTGCTTAATTTACAATATCTATAATTTATACATATAAAAAATATTTAGTGGCAAATAACTCAAAAATTTTAATCCCAAATTTTTTTTCCAAAGCACTAACCAATCAGTTCGATAACTCACATGTCAGTTCAATGAAATCAATATTCGAATAGAGTCCAATAACTATGAAATCAATTAAATGAAATTAAAATATAATTACTTTATTAACGTTAAGAGTAAACTATTTACCTGTCTAGAAATTGAATACTGCGACTTGTAGATAATGTTATTTCATAATGATTTACGTACAAATGACGTGTCAAAAAAATAGTTGAATTTATTTTTTAATTTGGTTGAAGAAACTTTGATGTCATCGTAAAACTTTTTTATAAAAAATATGAAAAACTTCGATAGACGAATTTATTAAGTCTCTAGTAGAGATGGTCCAAAATTTTAGAACTTCAATAAATTAAATCACATTTAAGAAATGTATCATCGAGTCGATTTCAATCAAAATGTATTATCGAGTCGATTTCAATCAATCATTATGCTCATATTTCGTCATTAATTATTAGAATCTCTAATTATTAATTGTGTTGAGGTGTAATGAGTAAGCACACCAGAACGGTTTAGTCATTTGGAGTTTGATTATGACCTTTAATTTGGAGTTGTGTCATGCTATTAATTTGTTCAATCATAATCCTAATTTTCATTAGGTTGTTTCCTAGGCTTTTCATTAATATATTTTTGACAACTCGACACGTAATATCTTCTAGTAAATAATATGAGACCAACACATTTTTTTTTGACACCTCGACACATTGTTCGCTGGCGTCTTCTCATTTTGTTAAGAAGAAACGATGTGTCGAGATATAAAAAATGTAGAGAAAGTCAAGATCATAACATGTTCACATGTAATTAAAATAAGTTCGATTATAAATTTAAAACTTTATCTGATGGAAAATTTAATTGATTAACAAAGTTGAATTCAAACATATAAATTATGCAAAGAAAATAGAGTAATGATATTCATCCTCACTGGGGATGAAAACACAGTTTATGTGGCGTCTATGTAGTATTAAATGATACGTGAAATTAAATACGTCATTTAATTTCACATTTCATTTAACCTATCATTTAATGTCATATAAACTGTGTTTTCATCCCCACTGAAGATGAATAACATTACTCAAGAAAATAATGTTTAACAATGATTTGGGTAAGCATATAATACAAAAGGAAAGCTCCAACTCAGCTGGATATGGTCGGTGAAGAAGATGAAAATAGCAGCCCAAGGGGTCCAATAAAAAACGCACACGTTGCAACCATCACGCTCTGAGGGGTAGTTAAACGTAATGGTGCACACTTTTAATTTAAATATTCCATTGGAATTCATGATTCATAAGATTTAATTAATGAAATGATTGTTCATTTTTAAATATGTTTACTTACTAAAATAATCTCAGTATGTACTCTTCTAGGTTTTTTTTTAGGGAAAATTGCGACCGTGCTCCCAAACCTTTCATTTTATTGCAGATTACACCCAAACTTTTTATTTTTGCGACCGAAGTCCCAAACCTTTATATGTAGTTGTAGCGTCGGTCCCAAACCTTTAATTCCGTCCATAAAACCGTCAGTCAACGTTTCAACAGTAATTTTGACTCAAAAAA